AGTTGTAAAAGTTACCGCAAGCGATGCACTATTGTACAGTCGTACGACAAACAGGCACCGCGACGTAGTATTTCACCGGAAGTATTTCATCGTTCGCTCGAGAACAGCGCGATAATGTGTAATTTTATGATTTCTCTTCTCCGTCTCCTTTCATCTGTCTGCCACTTTCAAGAGTTGTTCGGCGCACGCGTTCGTTATTTGTAGAAGGAGTATGCAACGAGAATATATATCGTGACGCGTTTCCATGTTACGTTACATTGCACAGTGCAGCGATTCTTATCGCCTCCTGGGACTTACATTTGCGCCATGCATTTACACGGCGCAACGGCTCGCGAGCAATATTCGAGGCTAAAAGCACCGAACGCGCTACCTTCAAACCCATGAATGAAAGAGCAAAGTTTCGTAATCTCGCGACGCTGTTCCAGAGCTCGCCGCTTCTTTTCCATAGCGGCAACTTTCGGGGGCTGTCGAGTGTTCCGAAAGGGCAAGCAACGCGGAGCCTTTCGAATGCACCGCTACACCTCGCACACGTCTTTGATCGTACCAGCTGCAGGAATATTACGCGCAATTTAAAGGGAAGACCCGTAATTCAGCAACTTGTCACGTTCGTTTTGAAAATTGTTAATAAAGTCTCCTCGAACTGCACGACGTGACGTGTTCGTAGAATCTTCAATTTGATACATACAAGATTTTTCAATTCTATACATGTAGCTAACACCTACCTTCTGAACAATTCGAAGATTAAAAATATAGAAAGTGACTCAAATGTAAACGACGAATTATTATTTTAATGATTTTATCAAAATTTTATATGTACATTTGTATGCACTTCTTGTTTCATGAAGCTTCCATAGTTTTTCTATGGATATTCAACTCAGAATTCATTTTTTCCAAAATGAATGAATATTACATGATTTTTTATAGCCTCTGCTCACATCTTAGATGTTGTAACTAAAAAAACGTTTATTTTCTATTGAAATTATTAGACGAAAACTAAATATATTCTTGCATTTGAAGTTCAATTTAAAAGATTTTATTAAAACTATTAGTGATTTGTTAGATGACTTATTATTATTATGTCCACGTGATTAATTATAAGGTTCCATGAAGCAAGATATAATAATTATTAAGGGATGAAGAAGCGCTTCGACATTTTTCATACGAGAGATATGGTAGGAGGGAAGATAAAAGAAATATTGAGAAGTTTAAATTGTTCGAGGCGCGGATGACCGTCAGGGGTGACGAGGTATCACCGAAAACAAAAGAATGACAGATCGGAAGTTGCCCGAGGACGAAGTCGGCACGGTTGTTAAACTTTTCCGCGGCTGGTGAGATCCGCTCCTCTGGAACTTATTGCAAGAAAAATCAGAATTCGAGTTTTACTTCAGGTTTTCGTAGAGTTATACTTTGCGGATTAATAAAAAAAAGAGATCGCAGTCCCGTATAATGAGAAAACTTTCCTCTTCAAAACCGGGAATCGTCGATTTCGAACAGGATATTTTATTCTGTAACAGACTCAAAAGCCACTCGAAACTCCTAGTTGAAAGGTTACTTTCAATTTTTTAATAGCATCGGATCCACCTTCCCCTATATTATATTCATACCTTTCAAAGTTCATGATTAATCCTTTGTTCAAAACTGAAATTGCTTCCCAGCGCCACTTTTTCCAATGAGTTCAAACGGTGACTCCTAAGAAGACTAGCGACCGGACGAAAACCAATTCGTATTCACGCCTCTTCCCTCGTGCCGCCGAAGCGTGCACAACTTCCCATTGTCGTTGGTTCGGGGGCACAAAAGTCAGGGATCGATCGGTCGTGCATGTATGCACGCTCGCACGCACACCGGCCAAGCATCGGACACAAAAGTGGGACAATATTGGCAAATGAGACGGTACATTTGCCAGGCATTGTCGACAGGCGTCGGGGTGGCCGGGCACCGACGCACGGCTCCGCTCCGGCCGCACCGTAATTGCGAGCATTGTTTGATGCTCGCCGGACTCGATTCGATTTGATTCGATCTGATTCGAATCGAATCCGACGTACAGCGTCTTCTTCGCGGCGCTCATTCCACCTCGTGTCTCTGTTCCTCGTCCCTTCAGACCGCTTGCAGATTTACAGACCGCTTTATACACAATGCGCAAATCAGCACATCGAAGTAATAAATAGGTTCATACAATGTAATCATGGATTACCACAATCATACAATTATGTTGCAGTATACCTCTATATACCGAGATGACTCATTTTGACCCCCACAGAGCGTAGTTATTTCGAAAATTATTGTTATTAAATTATTATTGTTATCATTATTATTATTAATTTGAAAAACAAGTCATTTCGACCCCTCCAGTAAAAGTATAAATACATCAATCGCCGATAGTTCCAATCTTTAATGAACAGTAACACCAGTCGTCTATTCTGACGGGACACCCTGTACGTGTTCGAATCCGAAGGGAAACGAGCGTGGATGATTTACTCCTACGTCGCGACGGATGATTCACCGTTGGTAATGGGCTGTGAATGATTATTAGTAAGAAGCAATCTCTCCTTCTCCGGTTCATTTTTTCCTCTCGATTCTTGGTCGACTCGTTTCAACGCTACCCTCCGTTCTATCCGCCGCGAACACGTTCCAGCGATCCGAAAGAAGGAACAGGCGAATTAATCTTGCTCGAATAAGATTTGCTCCGGGAGAGGCGGGAATGGCTCTATGCCGCGCGACTCCGAGTAGAGCCATCATCCTGCTCCCTTTCTTTCCGTTTTTCCCCAAGGATCACCCATTTTCTTTCTATCGCGCGGAAGGATCCCTCGTTCGTCATAATTAGCATTTTTTCCGAATACCTCCTTTCGCTCAAACGGAATGAAGCCGTTGGTTCTTATAATAATGTTCGACGAATTGCTTAACTGTTTGCCACTCTATGATGAATGTCACTCGGAATCGTATTCCGAAATCGTAAGCAATTATTTTAATATTAATAGTATTTTCCGTACTTTCATGGTTCCTTACTTTTTGTATACGTATATGCATTGATGTCATTTGAAATTAATATACATTCTACTAGGAATTAGGCGTAGAATGCAAGGAATTAAGGAGGTAATCTCCGAAACGGCAAGATGAGGCAGAAAGTCAATGTTAGCTACAAAATTGGCTACAAATATGAGTTTACGGGAATAGAATTCTCGTCTTAATATAAAAAGATTCTTGAGTTAAATTTAACGCACTCTCGTCATCGTTTAATCATATTAACATGAGCGTCACAAAATAAATGGAAAATCGTAGTTTAATTGGCCTTTTCCATAAACGTTTTTATACCCCAAAAAGATTATTCTGAATGAAATCGGGGCAGGGCACGCTAGATTTAACTTATCCAATTTTGTACAATTTATATGTTTTCTTATTCTGCTCATATTATTTTCAAAAATGTGTATTTACGTAGATCACCTCAAGACAGAACGTCATCATTCTGCTGACTAACCTTTTCGCAACGGAATACGGCGGGCGGTGATTAACTTCGGCCGTTCGCGCGTGATATAAACACCGCGACGATATCGCCTCGAGAAATGGAATTCCGCGTCGCTAACCCTTTTCGACGTCATAGCTCGTTGATTTACTCGCGTGGTCCGCGGTTATCAGTTTCGCCTTCTGCCATCCGGAGAGGCCGCATTCGGGAGATTTACACCCGAGTCTAGAGATCCGCGGATCTACGGCCGTGTTCTAGATGCCCAGATCGGAGAGTCGATCGCGTGACTCACGGATCTAAATCCTTCCTGCAACCACTTCCCGTGGCGATCCTCGTGTCGACTCGCGAGAACAGATTTTCGAGTGTTGGAATTTTTTCGAGGCGAACGGAATATAGTAGTAGCTCTTAACACACTTTACTATCCTTATTATGTCACTAGCGTCCCTATTACATTATCTTTATCTACTCTACTACGATAATACATGTATTCCCAACTAGCTGTCTGATTATGAGAATGAACTTCACAGAAACTTTTATATACAGGGCGCGGAAAAATAAATGCAAATAAATCCAATTTTTCCTGGGATGAGAATAGAATAACGTAGCAAGATAAATTTTATTCCACTGGATTCGCCGTATCTTTTTGCGCGAGTTATGTGTGCTTTTATTTTCTTATTGCTTAGCTAGTATGTATTCTCAGGCCGTCGCAAACAATCAAGCGTTGCGCTATTTTGGAATCGTATCGTAAAGGAAAACGACAGTGCGAAATTATTCGCTTGGTTGGCGTTTGCAAAGGTATTGTCTCAAAAGCAATTAAAAGATTTAAAGAGCTCCGTCATGAAGACATTCTAGAAAAGGAAGAAAGCGCACCGTGAACACTTCCAAGAAAGGCAAGATTAATAAGAAGCGAGTCGATTGAAATCCGTAAATCTTAATATGGAGGATCGTCAATTCCTCGAAAATTG